TATAAAATAACACAAGATAGTATTATCAAACTAAACCTATCTTTTGGAAGTTTAGGTCTTTATTAATAGTTAACTTTTCCAATTTCACCTATGTTGAATTGTAAAATAGCATTATGTTTGTCAAAGTAGTTTTTGCATTTTTTTAGTAATAACTTCTATTTATGAATTCAAAAAATAGTATGTACTTACCAATTTTTGGCCAAGTTGTGGCATTTGTGAAAATTTTATTTGAATAGATCATGAATTTAAATAAAATTTTTATAAAAATTTTTAAATTTTCAAATTTCAACTTCTAATGATCTAATCTTTTGGGAGTGGGAAACAAATTCTTTTTTTTAAAGATATAAAAGGCTTCTTGAGAAAAGTGTGTGAAATTAAATTTGTTTTTACATCCAGGAAGATGATTTAAGAAGCTGTATGTTTGATTTGAAAAAAATGAATAGAAGTTTTGAATTTTTAACTAATTAGAAATTGAATTAAACAAACATGAATATTATAATTTGATTGGTTTAAAATTCATTCATTCAATTTATTCTCTTAAATTGAACATTTTTAAAATATTTTTTTTAGATGAAAACTTGAAGAATTTATTCTTGTTAACGAAGACATATAGGAAACTATCCTTTAAAACATTGAATAATTTTTGTAAACAAATTATACAAAAAAATTATTATTTTAGGGACAAATTTAATGGAAGATGAGAAAACACGAAAATATATATTTAAAATGTATTTAATTATTGACATTTATAAAGTTATGAACTTAATAGTTGTATTTTTCTACAAGTAATTTCATAATTATTTGTTTTATTCATGTTGTGCAAATTTTATAGTGATTGAAGGTTTGATGTTAAATGAAGAAGAATTAGAAAAGAAAGATCTTTCAATTGTTTACTTGAGATAAAGAAACATGTAATTAAATAATAAATAAGAACAACAAAGTTAGCTAAGGTATGAATGTAATGAAATCTAATATTATGAAATCTACACAAGTGATGTGATGGCATAGATTCAATTATTTGGTTTACCAAATGGTTGTTCATTTTAAAGGGTAGTTGCGACATGTGCGCTCTTTTTTTCTTTTTTTCATTTTTTTTTTGTCTGGACCCTCTTTAATTTCTTGCAATTCATAAAGTCTAAATAGCACTATGTGCCTAAAGTCTAAATTGCATTGTACTAAAAAGCACCATTTCTACCAACGAGGGGTTAAATCAAGTGGTAAGCGACTTATTTCAGCTTAAACAAGATCTCGAGTTTGAGTTCTTGTGTACGCAGCAGCCTTCGTTGGGAGATTCACCTACCATTTTCAGGTGTGCGACGCGGGTCAGATCCGGATTAGTCGGGGCGAAGCCCCGGATACTGGGCGAGAAACCAAAAAAACAAAAAAAAGCACGATTTCTCATTTTTTGTTTTGGCCAAAAACCACATTCATTTATGTTAATATTAGTTCATAACCTTCTAAAAAACATCCACCATCACTTCTTTTGCCAACTTAAACAACTTAAATGTTTTATTAAGAAATTATAAGGTGACACATGGTAGAGTCAAGAATGCTCAATTGACCCCTTAATTAAGGAAGACTATTATAGATATGAATAAAATAGACCTAAGATATTAGGACTTCTTCCAATTTGAAAAGTCCATTGAGAGGGCTCTAATTAATACTTTATCACATCATCATATTTTTATTAGATCTAATGCCTACCGTGACGAAATGACTAATGGTGGACATTTGTCAAGAGGTCACGGACTATTGATATCACGAAAAGAAGATTAGGGGTGAAAGTATACTGTGTAAAAAAGATTAGGGACTAAGTAAAAAGTTGATCCTTTTCATAACTTTTTTTATCTGCTTTTTTAAAAAAAAAATAAATTATAAACATGTTCTTTCATTTCTACTAAACATATTCACTTAATTGCTTTTAGAAATAATTAAAAATTAATTGATTCTCTATCTTAAGCTTGGAAGGTTAATTTCACCATAAGCGCACCCAAAACGACTCATGGGAATGACATCAACTTCAACACCATTTTTCATTTGAAATTCTTTAATTTTCTTTACAAATCTATCCATATTGTTACCTGTCATCTTCGTGATAAATTGTTACTTTCTATTTCCTTACTAATCTCCAGAGGGAAAAAAATTTTAAAAAAATTTGCAAAGTGGTCCTGGAAGCTTGAATATGGTATAAAAATTGTCTTTTTGTAAATTACTCACCGGCCATTAATTTTGCTGATTCAGATACTGTGTCTTCATTATCATCCCTTTTTTCACAGTGAACTGACCCTTGAAAGTTGAAACATCATCCATTATCGTACTTGTCAAATTCCTCTTTGGTGTTGTCTGTTTTTCGCTTATCCCGGTTTCCATTTTATTTAAACAATGCATTCTCTAATGTAAGAAGGAACCTCCTTACGACACATCCATCTTTTCAGAAGATATTTTACCCTTTTTTTTTCTTGAATAATTTTGTAAGAAGTGAAATTCAAATCGTTGTCCGAAAAAAAAAAAAAAAAATTTAAACATGACTTGATGTCACTGGACTGTAGTACAAGCACAAATGCTTATTTTATCTTTTTTTGGATTCGTTGAATTCATAAAATCAATATGAGTCTTATCTTAGTGAGTCAAAATTAATTTTTCAAAAGATGTTAAAAAGAAAAAATTATATATATGTATAATAGAATTTAAAAAGTGTTTGTGTAGTTTAAGTTGTTTTAAATTATATAATTTTAATTACTAAATAAAAATAAATTCTTTAATATTGAAATTTTTTTATTTTATAATTAATATAATTTAAACTATAAAATAAAAAAATCATAATAAAATAACCTCCTTCTTCTTCTTCTTCTTCTTCTTCTTTTGGTTTTTTCCAACTTAGAGATGTAGATGTGATGGCCAAAAAAACATAGAGATGGACGTATGAGTTGAACTAAGATATCA